AGGGGGCTGGAGAAGAAGCCGTGCGGCCCCCGGGTGCAGCAGTGGGCAGGGGCGCAGCTGCCAGCCCCACACACTGAGCACCGGGGCCAGGGAGCTTCTCCAGGCTGCGGCTGGGCATTCCAAGCCGTCCTTACCAGGACTTTGCTGAAGCTCCATAGTTTCTCCTCCTGTACTAACTTTTTGAGATCCCTCCTCTTCAGGAACACAGACGCACAAAGCAGCGTTTCCCGTGAAGCCTGGAGAGCAGCAAAGAGCCAGCGATGGTCCCACAAGCCAGGGCACAGGACCCATACGGATTCATGTGCCAAGGTCTGGAGGAGGCTGCAGCCGGCAAGGTGCCAGGACAGGAGGCAGCCGAGCCCCCTCTCCGGGTGACAGCAGCAGCCCAGGAGTCCTCACCTCTGCTACATGCTGGTTCTCATCATGGCAGTGGAAGAACAGTGAGAGGAGGCTTTGGCACACATGCCTCTCCAAAGGATTTTCTCCCTTTCCCAAAAAATCCATCATATCTCGGAGGAGCCCTATAGAGAGTAGCTGCACCTGGCTATTATCCTGTATGAAAGAAAGGAAAAAAGATGTTAGCATTGGCTGTTCCAGGCCCACTTTGTCACAGGCCTGAAGCTCTACAGAGTACAAAGTGTCTGGGCAGCACCCAGTGGCCTCGGCTGGGGGCACAGAGCCTTACGTGGTGAAAAAGCGGCAGGAACGCCTCAGCCAGCTGCAGGGCAATGTGGCTGGGTATCAGGGTGGATTTGCGCAAGAATATCCAGCTGAGTGTGATGATTGACATCCCAACTATGTTCGCATCCTTGTCCCGGAGTAGATCCATAAGTCTTTCAGTCAGGCTCGTCATTTTTTCAGTCTGTGTGGAAGACATGTCTGTGAAACCTCACTGTGCTGCTGTGGCAGGGCCCAGAAGCCAATGGCCTGTCCCAAAGCACTGGGGCAGCTGAGCCGGGAGGCAGGAGAGCTGGGAGCAACTGCCTCAGTGCTTGAAGCCCAGCCAAGCCCAAGCAAGTGCATCCCCAGTGCAGCTTTTGACACTGTCTGCTTCGCACCATTGAGGGATCTTGAATGAGCTCGAGAAGGGCCCTGAGTGCCAGATAATGTCTCTCCCTGCACTTGCTTTGCAGGCACCTTGAGGAGACCTGCACAACACTGTCACTGCATTTATTCGAGTCCAGGCACTCCAGGATCTGAAAGGCACAGGACAGTGACAGGAGAGCCAGTTGGCAACAGCCCATAAGCGGGCTGGGCCCAGGCAGCAGCACGGGGCACGGGCAGCGTCCCAGGCAGCTGCAGCTATGAGAGGGCAGAGAGGTGGCAGGCAGCTCAGTGACATAGTGCTGGCCATCAGGCTCACCTCCACAAGGAATGCCAGGGCAGGCAGATCCCAGCGTGCCTCCCTGTGTGCTGAGCAGCTGGAGCAGGTGGAATGCAATATCGGAACACAACCCTAGAGAAGCATAGCGCATCTCCTTGGTAGGGCAAAAATGGGACCAGGACCCTGAGTAAACCTCTGCCAGGACTCACACACGTGGGACTGGTCTTTCCCCACAAGCCTGTGAGTGGTTGTGTGCTCCTTGGGAGGCGTCTCCTTCTGGGCTCCCTCCTCTCCCAGCCTTTTCCAAGTGTGATGGGCCATCTCTTTGTTATAAGGCCCTCTGGCCTACAACCACTGAGGCTGTGTGGTGCACCCGGACACACAGGGCACAAATGCCAGAGGTAGTTGGGAGGAGGGGGTCTCACCTGGCCAGCAGACCCATGGCATAGTGGTGGGTGTCAGCACAGAGCAGCGTGTCCCAGCCACCCTTGCATTCCATTTCCACCACCACTTCCTCATGATGCATTTGGCAGAGCAGGGCCTTCAGGGTCTGCACTGCAAACCTGTGTGCACAGCAAAGCCCAGGTGATGCTGGGAGCACTGGCTCCTGCCCTGGGGACATGGCAGGGACAGGAGGAGTGGGATGGAGCACCTGTTGGGGCTGGTGGCAAGGCCGTGTTGCTCCTGGCATTCCTTCCAGAAGGCATTGAGATCCTCTGACATATCCAAAGTGCTGAAGAACACTTGGAAGAGCAGATGCATAAAGAGGCGGGGGAAATGCATTGTCACTACACGTGGGATGCAGGGCATATGAAGGATCTTCCACATCACCACTGTTGCCTGCAGGGGACAAAGAACCCAGAGACAGCACTCAGTGTTGAGGTGTCTGGGTGGCAGGGCCTGAGTGTGGCAGAGAGCAGTCAGGGGAAACCCTTGGGGAGCTCCATGCCTGGTGCCCCTGAAGCTGCCCCTAGGCCAGGTTTGTGCCCAGTGCCAGAGGCAGGGAGATGCAGTGGGGGAAGGAGGAAACAGAGCTGCTGGCTAGCCATAGGGTGAGCAAAGACCATTTTCAGAAACTCACAGCCAGGGCAAAGACACCTATGTTGTCCCCATTGGAGGTGCATGTGCTGTGCTCTGGCCAGTTCTCCAGCACATCAAGGAGTATCAGGTATGCCTGCTCTGCTGTCCTGGGCGAGCACAAGATGGTCTTCCACATGGTCATAGCAGCTCTGTTGGGGTGACAGCTCTGTCTCACGGGGGTCTCAGACACATCCCTGTGGCCTGGGGAGCAGCGGGGAGCTGAGCTGGCTGCCAGCTCTGCCTCTGCCCACTGCCCCTCGCTGGCAGCAGCAGCCAGGCAGCCCAGCCCTGCGGAGACAGGGCCCTGAGGGGCATGGCATGGCAGCAGGCTCGAGGGCTGATGTAGCAGGGCTGGGAAAGAGAGCAGCCAGAGGACCCTGGAGTTGGTCAGACATCTGGGCTGGGCTGTACAGGGTGATGGGCTGGGAAGCCCTGAGCCCTCTGGGCATGTGGGCCCCATACCTGTCACATGTTGGGGCCACACGCAGGAGAGCAATGACCACGTCAGCAGGCTGTGCCTCAGTGAGATCCAGCAGGGTCCTGTGCTCAGAGAACTGATTGGCCATGAGCCACTGGTGGATGTACCTCACCATGGCAGGCACATGGAGAAGACATGGGGAGACTTGGAAAGCTGCCAGAGGGAGTCAGCAATGTCCCGAGCTTCCCCAGTGAAGTGCTCCCCTTGTCACCACGCTGCAATTGCCTCAAAGGCTTAAGTGATCAGCAGGCATGGCTTGGGAGGCCAAGTGATCCTTGGAGGATCAAACCCTGGCCACAGGCTACTTACTTGCTCTGGAATGGAAACACCTTCCTCCAAAATGAATTCCAGCATGGCAGCACTGGTGTCGGTGGTGTAGACATCACCGTTTTCCATGGACCCAGTTCCCATGACGCTGGTCTCTTCCTGCCAAATGCACTTGATGAATTTGAAAGTCGGGCAGGAGAAGGAAGGGTGGGAAGAGAGAGATATTGCATGGAGTGCTCCAAGCGTGGTGCTGGGCTGAGCAGTGCCAGCAGGCCCAGCCCAGTTGGGGATGGCTGCAGGTACCTATGCTGCTCTGCGGAAGAGGCCACCAGCAAGGTCCTGCCCTTGTGTCTGATCCATGGCTGCATCTGGCAAAGAGCAGCCATAGCTGAGGGGCTGCGGGAGAGGCCAGAGAACACAGCCCAGCCCTGCGTTCCCCAGGCAGGGACAGCCCTGGGATGGCCCAGGGGATGGAGCACGGCCACTGCTTGGGGGGCAGCCCCAGCCCCTCTTTTATCCTGTCCATGGGTGTGTCTCCACAGGACAGTGTGGGGTGGGATGAGATGGGATGCAATGGGATGGGATGGGGCCAAGCTGGCCACAGGCACCAGCCCTGAGGCCCAGCTCTGCCACTCACCCTCCTCCAGCATCTGGAACTGCTGCAGCTCTTCAGTCTCCCATGCCAGGACAGCTCCAGGGCCTTCTTCTTCCTCCTCCTCCTCAACCGAGGCTAGCTTGGGCACTCTCAGGGGTCGCTGCTCCATGGCAGTGACTGGATTTATGGTATTTCCTGGAGAGATGCCTGGGAAAAGCTCGGAGTCAGCGAGTCCTGCAGTCGTGCCTGGAGGCACCTGCAAGACTCAAGTCCTGGCAAGACTACAGAACAGCAAGTCCTGCACCTGGGTCTTGAGGGCTCCTGCCACAAGCACAGGAGTCTCCTGGTCAACGATGGTGGTCTGGTCTCAGGGGCAGTGACTGCAGGGATTGGAGATGCCTCGGAAAAGCTCCAGGTCACCAAATCCCACCGTCTGCCCTTGAGGGCACCTGCAGAAGAGAAGCCTCAGCAAGGCCACAGGTCAGCAAGTCCTGTGGTCTGGTCTCGAGGTCAGCTGCAGGAATAAGGGCTCAGAAAAGCTCTGGGTCAGACACAAAGGAGTACGCTGTGTGGGGGCTCCTCACAGCACCGCTCTGGCGCGTCCTGACCCGTCGCGTGCACTGAGCACTGTGGTGTGGTCCTGTCACTGCCAGCTCCTATGTCACCACATGTCACAAAGGGCCCTCTGACACCCTGTCCCTTTCCATCCCATGGTGACCATGTGTCACAAAGGGCCCTTGCACACCCTGCCACGTGCCCTGGTTCCACCCCCATCCCCGCCAAAGTGGCCCAGGTTGGGAGGAATCCCTTGCCCAAAGTGTCTAAGACAGCCCAACAGGATCTTTAGGAACAGCTCAAGCCATCAGCAAATGCTGCCCTCCTCTGCAGGCTCCGGGCAGCAGAAGGAGCCCCCAGGGCTGCCGACGCAGCCGCAGCAGGAAGGGCACGGGGGCCTTGCACAGAAGCTGGCACAGCCTCCTTGGGAAATGTCCCAGCTGGTGGCCATTCCAAACTCACAGGTGTGACACAGACAAGGAACATCTGGGCCAAGGCACGAAGAGTCCACTAGAATATATTTTAGCACATTAGAAAGACTTGGGAGGAATCCCAGAGGGTCATTTTTTGAAGCCAAGTGATCTGATTAAATATTGTAACCAACGGTAGGCTTGGTAAAAATTAGAAAGTGGTGAAAATGGACTGCTTAATGGAACTTTAAATGATCATCCACTGTTACAGTTGATGTTATTTTTAAGAAAAGAAGACAAATGAGACCAAGTGATATGTGCAGACACATTTTTTTACCCTGAAGAATAAACCTGAGTGGCACAAAGAATATGGCTTTGATTTGGACCCCCAGGAGACTTTGGTCCTTCCTTTGGAAAGAGATAACAGGTGGAAAATAAAGAGATGTTGTTCAGCGTGTAGTTTAGGGCAGAGATGTTTGGAATTGGCAAAAAGCACAAGGAAGACACTGTTATAGATGTCCAAGACTCACAGCCAAGTTATTCCAGGCCAGCTCTACCTTCCCCCTCAAGCAACCACTCCTGTCCCTCAACTAAATGAAAGTGAGAATGACATGAATAACGCTCATGAGGGACAAGTTCGGGGACACCAGTGACAACATGTACAAGGAATAAAACCAAGAAAGCTTTCCCTTTAATCACCCCCTTAAGGCAAGTAGTGGGTCCCGCAGGAGAAGCTGCATAGGTGAAGATCCCTTTTTCTGCTGGTGACCTGATGTCATGAGGTGACTTTACCTTTAAAGTGGTTGTGAGAGCTAAGGAAGTTGAAGTTGCTGGGGACTGAAAGGAGTCCTTTCTCTTGACCAATTATTGGTCATTACTGGGAATTGACAGCAATTTTAACCACTGAAAAGAGAGATCAACTTGTGAACCCTACCTTAAGATGTAAAGTCAAGGCACTTTGGTGCTCTTTGTTTCCTGCCTGTGAAAGGTAACAGAGCTCCAGGCTTCCTGTTCCCTGCCCAGCCCATGTGGCCGGGCTGGGGCTGGGCTGGGCCTGCTGCAGCTCCCGGCCGGGAGATGGGGCCGGCGGGGCTTGCCCTGGGCTCTGCCGGGCCAGGCCAGTCCCTGGCTCGGCTGCAATGACGGAGTTCACCAGGGACTGCCGAGTAAAGAAGGAGAAAAAGCTCTGGACCTGCGGTGAGCTGAGACAGCAACTACACTCTCCAGAGCAGCCATGGGGAATTTTCTATCTCAGACAGCTCCAGCTCCTGCACCGGCAGAGGTCACAGAGCCATCTACAAAGCCTGGGCAAGATTTTAAACTTTTCATTTCGCATATGAGACTTGCAGATTAATCTTTTTATCCAGAGAGAGAAAAAGAGAGTGATCAACATGTAAAGAGACTTTATAAAACTATCAGAGACAAGAAAGAAAAGAAGCTTCAGGAAAGGTAGAGAATTAAGAAGATGATTTAATTAAGATGAAATATTTTTCTGTTAAAGCTATGGAGATGGACAATAAAGTCCTGACAGAACTTCTTTAATTCATGACAGTATATAGGGAGGAATAGAGTGTTCAAAGTGAAAATTTTGAGTAAAAAGTAGAGTGATTGTGATATAGTGAAGTGCTGAAAACAGTGAAGCAAAAATTTGAAGCCTTGTGGGGGGGCAATGAGAAAAACTGTTTTCTGGTGAAGCTCACAGAAACAGATGAAGAAGACTTTTGCTTTTGAATAACTCATCCTTAAAATGCCATCCCTAGACTCATGGCCCATACACACCTGTGAAATTTATAGAGGATGAGTGGGACCGGGGGAAAACTGGGATACAGGTATCGGGGTGGGATGGCAAGGGAGAACACCAATGGAATGTAACAGTTTAACATAACTAACTGAAAGATTGCTGGACTGATACTTTGCTCTCTCTTAGTGAAAGTACCTTGCCTCCAAGAGAGGGCCAGGATCTCTGAATCAGGGGGTTCCACGGCCCCCACAAAATCTCCTCAAAATCCCACAAAAAATCCACAAAATTATTTAAATCTCCTCAAAATCCCACAAAATTCCAGAAAAATTCCACAAAATTCCTCAAAATTCCCAAAATGTCTTCAAAATCCCACAAAAAACCCACAAAATTCCACAAAAATCTCACTAAATTATTTAAATCTCTTCAAATTCCCACTAAATTATTTAAATCTCTTCAAATTCCCACAAAATTATTTAGTTTCTGAAATTCCTATAAAATTCTAGATGAATCCCACAAAATTCCAAAAAATTTTCCACAAAATTCCATAAATCTCCACAAAATCCCACAAAATAATCTCACAAAATTCTCCTAATCTTTTAAAAATCAAAAAAAATCCCACAAAATCCCACAAAATCCCCACAAAATTCCCCAAAAATTCCACAAAATTCCATTAAAACCCTCAAAGTTATTTAAATATCTTCAAAATCTTATGAAATTCCAGAAACATCTCACAAAATTCCACAAAAATCCCTCAAGATTCCCCAATCGTTCTCAAAATCCCACAAAATTCCTCAAAAATCCGACAATATTATTTAAATTTTCTCAAATTTCTACAAAATTCCAGATGAATCCCACAAAATTCCAAAAATTTTCCACAGAATTCACCAAAATTTCCACAGATTTCCATAAAGCTCTACAAAATCCTACAAAAATTCCACAAAAAAATGGTGGTGATGCTTTCCATGGAAAGAGACGGTAGCTTTATGGGTTGTGATGTTTGCCATGGAAACAGACCATAGCAATGGAAGAGTAGTGATGGTTGCCATGGCAACAGACCATAGCATCAGGGGTCTGTGATGGTTACCATGGAAACAGGCCATGGCAAGAGAAGGGTGGTGATTGTGGCCAAGGAAACAGATCATGACAACGGGATGTGATGGTTGCCATGGAAAAAGACAATAGCAGAACGGGGGTCTGTGATGATTGCCATGGAAAAAAACCATAGCAGCAGGGGGCTGTGGTGGTTGCCATGGAAACAGACCATAGCAACAGGGGATTCTGTGCTGGTTTCCATGGCAACACACCATAACAACAGAGGCTGTACTGGCTGCCATGGCAACAGACCATAGCAACATAAGGGTGTTGATGGCTTCCATGGAAACAGACTATGACAACAGGGTGGTGTGATGGTTTCCATGAAAACAGACCATAGCAACTGAACGGTGGTGATGGTTGCCATGGAAACATACCCTAGTATTAAGAGACTGCCAGCTATTCACCAGTCTTTACAGAAGTAATCGTGAACGCCGTTTATTTCTATCTTTAGCACACCCTTTATAGGGTTCTACAGGGTCTGCGGGCAGAGCAAGCTACTATTGGCTAACACACACAGTTGACATTTTTTCTCCTACGCACAAGGATATTGTTTTGCTTTACTCTCTCTTCTGCATGAAGGTTCTAAGGACTTTAGCCTTTAATATTATGACTTATTTCAAAGGCTGGTTTGTGCATACAGGTCTTTACTAATATATAAAATATATCAACAATTCCCCCTTTCTCTTTTTGCACAAGCCAGGCTTTGGATAAGATAACATCCCGATTAACATTATAAGTAAAGTCTGTCCCCCTTCTAGCACAAGAGACCTCAACCATCCAGTGATGCCCCAGCTGGCTAACTAACTTCTAATGGGGTCACTATCTTCTTTCAGGGCATGTAACCCATCCTGTAGCTGTTGTAGTTGCTTATGGATGGAAGCTGAATGATCAGTAAGATCCAGACAGCACACGCCTTCAAATTCCTCACAACCATGTCCTTGTTCTAAGAGCAAAAGGTCAATTGCAGCTCGATTTTATAATACTGCATGATGTACACTATTCACATTGGCTGAAATCTCACTTAACATTGTGGATGTTAAGTTCAATTCTTCCTTAGTCTAGCAAGCAAGCCTTTTTAGAGTTGCTAGGCCTTAATTCATTCAGGCTTCACTTTGACTGTTTGATGTTTTTCATTTTGCTAGCTACATTCAGCAATTGGTGTAGGCTTGGATGGAACAAAGTTAAGTTTCCCAAGATAACAGGGTCTTCTATGTGGACTATCAGGAATCTAATTCCATGCTCTATCCCCACAGATTAGGAATATGGAACTAGGTAATTGCTTTGGTAATTGTCCTGTGAGATTGCACCGCAAAGAAAAGGCTTTACTTTCAGTGTGAGTAACAAGATCAGCTATAGGGTTGACTGCAGCTCAGTGCCGCATTACTTTGTTAGAATGACTTTTTGTCAGGAGTTCAAACATTATCCATCTACCTGAGGTATTGGTGGAACTTAACAAATCTAATTCTTCTGAGGGTTGTAACATTGAGAACTTTGGTAATTTTTGCTTGCCAACAGGCTTCAAGTTGTCTTGATGT